TTGTAAGTGTTTAATAGTTTAGATTCGTCATCTTCACAATACTATTGTTTGGTTGACTTTTCAATTTTTGAAGATTCTTGATAAAGAGGTTTTCGTCTTCTTTGTTCATTAAACAATATTGGTAATTGGTGTAATTGTATTATTAACAGCTTCTCCTGTTCTTAGTGTATTGTTAATATAATTCTTTGCTAAGTCTAATTGTCTTTTGTTGTATTGTCGATATCTTGTGAATGCTGTTACTGCAATTATTAATACAATAAGTATAATTGTTACTATATTTTGGTCAATTACGTTTGGGTCGTTAAAATAGCTTGGTGCTTCAGTTAAGGTTGATACTGAAGTTTGAGTAATTGTTGAAGGTGTTGGTGTAATTTGTTGTGTTAAAGTTACTGTTGGTATAGTAAGTGTTATAAATGTAATTTGTTGTTGTCCTGCAACTAATATTACTAATGATAGTAATATAATGAATAATTTCATTTGTTATTGTCCAAATAGTCTGTTGACTGATCTGGTATTTCTTCCAAATTGGTAGTTTTCAATGTAATTATTATATTGCTTTGTTGTTGTAATGGTAAGTTTGCTATTTGTTGCAGTGTTAGATTATATAAGTTGTTTTGGTTAACAAATTCTGGGTTAAAGTATGTTATTTGTTTCTTTGGATTCTTTTTCTTTCTTCGTTGTTTGAATATACACATTAATAGCTAATTGGTGGTAATCATGGATAACGTATTTTTTGGATAAGGTGTGATCCTGATGGTATTGGTGTAGTATTTCGGTATTGGTCAAAGTTTTCAATATTTGTAGTTCCGAGTTGATAATTATTTCTAGGTGTGTTTCTTTGTCAATTACTTTTCTGTTTCCATTTTTGCAAATAAAGTATAGTATGGTTGATATAATTAGAGATACTAGTAGTAGTACTCCAATGATTATAAATTGTAGTTGTGGTATCAGGTTGTATTGGTGTTGTAGTAGGTGTAGTTGACATTAATTTTAACAACAGCAGCCTTGGTTTTGGTCTGCGTAATATCCAAGTGATGATGTCTGTTTATATAATCTTTTCTTATCTTGTTGTTGTTTACAGCAAATAATTACAATGGTTAATATCCAGATTACAATAGTAAATAGTAATATTATGAGTAATGTTGATGCAGGTGGTTGAAATATAGTATTGTTGCAGTTAAGTGGTTCAGTTTGTATTGGTATTATTGTTTGTATTGTTGTTATTAAATTGATAAGGTTTTAATGTAGCAAATAGTACAATAACTATTCCGGATATTGCAGTAAGAATTAGAATAATAATAGATATTTCAATTTGTGTTGCTTCAGGTTCTTTAAGAAGTATAATGGTTAAGCCTACTGCGAATATAATTGCAATTGAGATTATGATTAATATGTTTTGGAGTTCTTTCATTAACAATAGTAAGAGTATAATAATTAATTTCAGGTAGAATATCCTTCGTTTTCGGATTGTTGTGGTGAGTTTATATGTTGGAATTTTGCTTTCCTTCCAGGTTTAGTATGTTGTGGTTGAATTGGTAATCCAGTTCCTGTTCCAGTAAATTGTCTTTGTTGTAATTATTGTAATTGTTCTTGGTTAAGATTGTGACTTGGTGGTTGTGTAAATGGTATCTGACTTTTGTATTATTTCTTTCTTTTGTTTGCACGTTTGATACAGATAATAAGAGTTGTTATGATTGTTGTTAATACAGTTAATATTGCTCCTAAAACTTTAATGATTGTTACTAGGTTATTGTTTGGATTAATTGTTTGTGTGGGTGTGACTATTACAATAGATGGTTGAGCGTTTGTAATAGATAATGGAGTTTGAATTAATTGTGTTGGATTTGTGGATAATACGGTAGATGATACAATTGTAGTTGTTGAAGTTGGTGTTATTGCGATTGAGATTACAATCTGTGCTAATATGATTCTTAAGTATAATGTAAGTATTGTCAAAATAGATAATAGTAAGATTCGTATATTTATGTAAAATAATTTCACTTGTATTGTTTCCAATAATATAGTATTGTCAAAGGTGATCGGTCTCTGATTTTACTGTTGAGCGTATTAGTCTCTTTATTCACTAATAGTTCTTCGTTATTGGGGTTCATCCGGTAAGTATATTACTTAACAAGTTACTTGATATTACATGTTCAAATATGATGAATAATAGTTTCTTTGTTATAAAGTTTCTTTATTAATAAAATATGAATTGGTTAACAGGTTTTTTAGTTCAATAGAGTAGTTTAAGCTTTCGATAAATATAATGTTCAGCTATTATAGCTGTTATTATTACGAGTATTGTCAATAAAATTGTTAATAATATTGCAAGAATAACTATGAGTAATGAATCACTATATGTTCCTAAGTTTTCAAATTGGTAAATGATGGTAGTCATAAATGACTTTTAACGATTAAATATATGTCAAATATATTTTACACTTTCAAAGTGTTAAGGGATTATATTGGGTAAATAATAGAAATTATATCTTAATACATGCACTTATTATTAGTGTCTTGTATTATTACATGCACGAAGTTGACTAAGGTAAAATATCGTTGTTTAAATACATTTTTCGAATAATATTAATATTTCTATTCTACTGCTATATTATACTATCGCTATTAAGCTATTATTAATATCTTATTCTAATCGTGAAAATAGTACTTATTGTTAAGTACAATAGATTAGCTGCCAATGCGGTTAAGCTTGGACTTACTGAATAATGCAAACGATGAGTAATTATAATTTCTTTGTTTTCTTAGCATTATGCGATTTTCTAATCGCGACGTGCTATTTGTAACACTTATTTTCTGGTTTTATGTTTGTGGCGCGCCAGGCGATCTATTTGTTTTGTTTCAGATTATTTCTTGGTATATTCTATCTTTATTAGTAAATGATTTTCTGGGAATTTTGCTTGTGTTTCCCTGTACATCGGAAGCCTGTGTGAGCCCTATTGGGAGATTAATTCGAGTTGACGTACGTATATACGTAAGTCAATAGATCGGAAGATGGTAAGCAGGACATAAGCACCTCACAAGGCCTGGGCAAGGGGCGCGATCATGAGCCGAGCGCAGCAGATGCAGAAAGACATGTGGAGATCGCCATGAGTTTTAAACAGAGATACAAATACAAGTGAGTATGATGTAAAATCAATTTCTGCAAATGGCAACTGTTGAACCTTGGCAGGATCGATATAAGATGAAGTAAGTACAAGTAAAAGGAGAGCAACTCCAGCAATTACGCCAGGAGTATTCAATTCCGTTGAGACTCTGTAAAAAATTTTATCCGAATATTTTCATAATTTTCCATAATTTTGTAAAAACTCCGTGAATTCGCAACATGATCAACAAAATCTAGACAATCAGAATAAATTCCGTGAATATAAAACATTTACGGAAAAAATATAGAACCCGATCCCGCCCATCTGACATTTTCATAATAATTACCAAGTTCTGCTAGTCACGTTTTCACATTAACGGCCGGTTTGCATTATGCAGGTGGGGTACCATGGTAATGCACGGTGCAATATCAGTTGCTATTTTCGGGAGCAAATCCGTTTCAGTTTCAACTATGCATAAATCATATCTACGTACATTTGTAAATCAAAAAAATCTTATCCCGGTATATTAGACCAGATTATCCAAATTGAATCATGCGTGCAATACTTTTCATGCTTGAAAAAGGCAAGATCGATTGGAAGAGTGCGTACGTATGAAGAAAGTGTACTATTGATGAGTGGTGAGAATTTAATATTGCCTAATAAATAAATTCATAAATTTTCTCTCTCTCTCTCATAACATAATTTATAACTTTATGTTCCCACTTTATTCCTAAAAAGGAACATAAAATTTAAATCTAGTGTTCCTATATTTTTTTAAATAACATTGGGAACATTAAATCTATAACACTGTTCCCGACCCTCCTTTAAATGTCGTTATTGATTGTGATACTTGAGCATTATCATGATCTTTATTTAATTGATTGATTAAGATGATGCTTGAGAACACTCTTATCCGTTGAAATAATTTTAAATTTTTAAAAATTTCAATATATGCTGTAAAATGCTATAATACTACCGGGTTGTTATTAAAGGGTAACACACCAGACCAGTTATGCTTAAAGCTATTGTAATACCTTCCTGTATATTTGATGAGAAAAAAAAACAGGATATTTTACTTAAATATTAGTGTTTACCCATAATGAGCCAGAAATTTCTGCTAAAAAAGTAGTATACTTCAGTGTCTGATATTCACTTGTTTAGCATGATTAAGTGGAAGCATTTTAGAAAACCTTTTATATTAGAACGGGAATTTAATCAACAATTTCATATAGAAATGTCCCTACTATTTATAATACTAGCGTTACAAATAAAATTACGTATGATTAATTATCACTTAAATTTATTGAATACGAATTAAAAAAAAGTACTAAGTACCAATAGTTATTTTCTTGTGGCTATTAATATTGGGTATATATGTATAGAGTATCTGTTCCATGCCAATTTAAAGTATAGGATCATCATTAAATATTAATAGTACTATTAAGTATTTTAGTACTTTATTTATACTGTGAAGTTCCAAAAATATCTATAGTTATACTGTGAAGTACCGAAAATATCTATAGTTATACTGTGAAGTGCTAAGAAAAAATTTTTTTATTAATATTTTGACGGCAAATTTACATGTATACCAATTGTTACTAATTTCTTGACTAGAACTATGATAAATTATACATACATATGTATGCATATACCAGAATTTAAATATTTTACAAACCGGCAAATATTAAAATACACAAGTATTCAATATTTACAATTTCTTTAATATGCATATTGTTGTTCTTGTCAAGTTTAATAAATTATAATCATAATATAATCAGGTTACATAAATTTTAATAGCTCTAATATTAAAATGATTAAATATTAATTAAAAAGTGATTAATAAATAATTTTCATTGTTTGTATTTTTTAATTAATGACCTTTACTTCTTTCTAACAATGTCGTTAACCAAACTTACATATTCATTATCTGAATCTTCAAACCTTTCAATAATATCTGAACTTTCAGATCTTTCAACTGCACCATTAGTTAAGTTAAAATTTGAAACAAGTTCTTTATGTAATAATTTTATCGATTTAACAGCTATTTCGAATGAATCATCATTAGATCTTGAGATTCCTGAAATAGATATAGATAGTTCAGTAAGTTAAAAATTAATAAAGTTACTTTTATATAAATATAATTTATATACGTATCATTAATTTATACAATAAATATATTATACAAATAGAAACTTCAGCAGACGAATCTAATATTACTATTAAAGCTTATAATTTTTTTACTAAAAAATTATGCATAAATGAAATTCGATATTCACCAATGCCGATTGAATATCCCCCAACTTCTTTAGAAGGTACTGCTATTGTTTATAATATTTCTGGATAGAATGATCATAATACTGCATTTTCAGATGTAAGTTTACTATTTAAAATATTATTTTTATTTATTGTTCATAGACAAATAACTTAAATATAAATTAATTTATTTAGATTCAGTATAATATGGGTGATGGCAGTGGTAAAAAAGTTGTAGAATGTGAATTTTTAGGATATAAAGTAAACAAATCAGTTAGAATTTGTACTGGAGCTAAAGTATGCAAATTTGTTTCAAAAGAATTAAAAGAAATGCAACATGTTGAAGTTAATGAAGATATTGACTTTTATAAAATGAATCAACCTAATAATTCACAAACATCAAAAGAAGCTAAAACACATGCATAAAAAATTTTAATAATGTTTAAAATTTTATATTATAAATAAAATTAATTAAACTTTTTTTAATTTAATAAGAAAATATATGGCATTTGTAAATTACCAATGCCCATATAATTTTGAAACATGTGTAGGTAAAGCTCAAGTTTGCCATTATGGTAAAAAGTCAGATGATGTGATAATGATGCTCCATCATATTTTATCGGATGTTTCGCTTGGTCCCCTGGACAAAAACATTTATATTATAGAATAAATAATAATGAAATTGATGTGTTAGAAAAATTATTTCAAGAAAAACCTGTAAGTATATACTTAAATTTATATTTTGTTATAATTTATTTAAATGTACTTATAAAAATTAAATTTATTTATAGATTACTTTATTAAATAAAGCAATAAAAAATTGTCATACTGTATTATCTACAAGTGTTCAGAAAAAAGAATTATTATTAATTTATAAATATTTTTTATTATTTAGCATTTTTTCATTTAACAAATGATAGTTTTTAAAAAAAGGAACTATTATTAAATTAAATTGTAATGTCCAGTTTATCAAGCTTGTACCTTTAGATTTAATAATTACACCATTTGTTGTTTTAATTTGCAAAGGAATTTATACGCATCCAGCACCACCTCCAATGAATATTCCAGCTAGAATTCAAACAAACTTAGAGCATATTATTAATAATGTTATTCAAATTTTTGAAAAAGTTACTTCTAAAAAAATTTATCAAGTAATTTATTAAAAGCATATTTTGGTAAAGATCTTTTTACTGAAATACATACTTCTCTTAATAATATGGATAAATTCTTGTTATCTGGCATGATGTGATAGATATATAGGTAGACAGCAAAAGCACGTGGCTGAAGGCCACGTGTTGCTATCATCCTGTCGAATACCCATGTATCTATCATATCATGCTAGATAACTAGTTTATCCGTAAGGTATGACGTATACACTGATGGAACCATATTATTGCCCAAATAAACTTTTTTTAATTAATAAATAATAGGGACTGATAATTCAAATGAATATATAAAAATGATAAAATGAGTGATTTTGTTTTGATTTTTTAATTAATAATTAATAAATAATAAGAACTAATAATTCGAATAATGAATATATATAAATGATAGAATGAATGTTTGTGTTTTAATTTAACTCTCTCTTTAATATTTCAATGTCACATAATACATTACCAACAGACGAAGATGTTTCAAAACTTTGTAAACTCTCATGAGTACATAATACAGATAAATGTATGGCAAAGTGGTTATGAGCAGTTGACAGATATATAGAAGTATCAAATTATGAAAAATTATTTGAAAGCATACCTGAAGTCGTTGAGCTTGAAAGCTTTCTTGCAAATTTCTTGTATAGTTAAAATGAATTGATAGAAAGGAATATAAAGCTGAAGGCAGCAGAAAAATATACACTTGGTAATAGGCTAGAACAATATTAAGAGCATTTGGGTATGGATTATTCTAGTTATTAATTAATTGCTAATGATATATTTTAATTATATTATAATTTTTGTAGACTCAAGTAATTTGGCATCTACTCCAACTTCAATAAGGTCTAATTATAACAAGAAATCCACTTTCAGGTCCCGTATTCCAAGATTATCAGGTTAACGACCACCTTTAAAGTCTATTTCTAATCAATCGGCACCATATTTTATACCAAGTTTTCATGATATTAAACAACTTCATAAATCTTCATCCAAACATAATAATAATAAGGAAATACACTATCATTTCCACTACTATTTTTAATATTATTTGTTTTTCTATATGTAATTTATTCTGGGCATATTAGTTTTAAAAAATATGAAATTGAGAATTTTAAAAATCTACAATTAGTATATGTCACGTGATTTTAATAATAACCTGCAGCAATAATATAGAATTTTTTCCGTCAGTGTATACATAGTACCTGATGGATAAATTGAGATATCTTGTTAGCAAAGTACAACAAAGACAATTTCCTTATGGCCAAGGATTATTAGGTATTACTGCTGAATTTTGGAAAGAAAACAAAGAATTTAATGAATATTTACAAGAAATTAGTAGTTATTATTTTATATATTAAATTTTAATTATTATTTTACTTTACAGAAATTTATAAAATTTTAACAATACTGTTATGATATAGTGATGATGTTATCTCAAGATAACCATGATTCTGAAAAAATTTTGTGGCGATTTATAATGCTACAATATTTTTACCTTATAGCTGCTACATCGTAACTATAACACAAAAATCTAGTAACGATTTTGTTAAGATTCCATAATGATTTTAGTAATAAAATTGTAACGATATTACAACGATCTTACTACAACTACACAAAAATCGAGTAATGATTTTGTTAAGATCCTATAACAATTTTAATAATAAATTATTACAATATTAAGATGATCTTACTACAACTACACAAAAATCAAGTAACGATTTTGTTACAATTCCATAATGATATTAATAACAAAATTGTTATGATATTACGATGACTTTATTACAACTTTTATTAGATCTGGTAACTATTTATTTGTCAAGTTGCCATGATTTCTATATTACAATCTTATTACAATCTTATTACAATTTTATTATAATTGTTATTTAATTTTGTGGCAATATCATAGCAATTTTATTACGATTGTTATTAGATTTGGTAACAATTTGAATGCCAAATTGTAACAACTTTGTGTTAATATAAAATTATAAAACGTATTTAGAAAATTATAATAATATGCCTTAATATAGAAACTCAATAAGCCCTATAAGAAAAACGTATCAGATAAGCACAGGCTTTTGTGGCATGGGTATGGTCCGAGTTGAAATGGATTCAGTAGTACATGTGGGACTTATGCCCATGCCAATTGGGCTGTAAATTGGACTATTAACCATAGTTGCTACAACAAATTTGAACCGGAAATCCTCGATTTAGATTTGCTAATAACTGAGGATCTTTAGCCCACATTACAAAATTGTTTACTAATATCTGGCCAAAATTAACTTTAATTTTTTCATTACAAAAATAGAAATTTTTAAAAACCTGCATTATGCCCAGGAACATTAGTAAATCTATGAGCAATTCTGGCCTAATTTTTTGTTCATCACTCTTAGCCAATAAAAATTGAGAATCTACTAGTCCAATTTTGTTGTAGCAGCTATAGTTAATATTTGAATTACTACAGCAGCAATTTGTAGCTTAGTATATCTGAGATTCTTATGTCACAAGTAAGGAATATCTGAAGATCGAAGACTTAATTTACTACAATGTCACAAGGTTTTTATGTTATGAAGATCAATTTTATTCTAATTAGTGATAACAATAGATTATATATATTATTAAGTATATATATAAGGGTTTTAACTATTAATCAATTATCTCTTCTTCTTATACTTGTTATCTTGGAGAGTATTAGTGTTCCTAGGTTCAGTTCAGTTCAAATTTAGGTTCAATGAACCTGAACTGAACCTGAACCTAAACCACAAATTTTGTAGATCTTTGAACCTGAACCTGAACTGAACTTTGAATTTATGAACCTGAACTGAACCTGAACTTAAAGTTCAGGTTCA